TATATATATATATACACACACACAAAAAGCAACACACAGTTACTGGAGGACCGGAAGCGATATTGCGTCCAGCGACAACTCAGGCACCACTGACATTAAAAGTCCCCGTCTCCAAAGAGATAGAACATTAGACAGACCAGTTAGTATTAAGTGCAGGAAATGTTATATCAAATTATTTCCCTATTCTATCCCCATGTGATGACACGCGACCACGAATGGCACCATTAAGTCTAACTAAGAGTATAATGAAGGCAAAGAGATGTTAAAAAAGTAAAATTAAATAATTAAATTACGTAAACACACACACACACACACATACCCACACACACACGCAAATACACACACACTCACTCACACACACAAACACACACACACACACACACACAGACTCCCTCACTCACTCACTCACGCACATAATGTGGCTATATATTATGTATAACAGTCTAGTATTAACAAATGGTTTAATTTCTTCATTTTGATCATTCCTGCCTAAGACGGCCACATGTGTTATACGGCCACTTTTCTCTATGACAATGGGTGGCCGTTTTACACAGGTTCCACTGCATATAGATATCCTAGCAGGATCTATTGGCCGCGGTCCACATTGAAGATCACGTACAGAGTGCTGTAGTGTCGTTTGCTCCTTCTTTCCTTTCAAACATCAGTCTATCGTCCGTATCTCTCTTACTTCTCAGTGTTTGTTACTTAAAAAAAAAATTTTTCTTTTCCATTTATCTGATACCTTTAGGATGTCGAGGGGAGGTGCATGCAGGTTTCGGTCCTATGCTTGCTTCTCACTTATAAAATCTCTATTCTTCAGCATTTATATGGCATTCTTGTGTTGTAAGTGCTCTAAAACTCCTACTAAAAGAAAACTAAGCAGACGATCTCGTGATGTGCGGAGAGGGAGACATTCATTTTGTCACAAGCTCTTGCGGATGTTGGTGATGGGTGCTCTGGGGTTCTGTTTTTGTTTTTTTTGTTTTTAGTTAGTTTGTTTGTTTTTTAAATTTGTTTTGTGTGTGTGTGTGTGTGGGGG